TTCTAGTAAGCCGTCGATCAGACGGAACTATCCAACGCGCCATCCACAGGAAGCCATCGTAGAACAATCAGTATATCCATTTCAAAAGTTATGTCTTTGGAACGGGAAAGAAGCCTGATTCATTGCCTCGCTACCAGGGCGCGGAGAATATGTACGGACGATACCATTGATGCAGAACTGAGGTTTATTCGAGATGTTTTCCTTAAAAACGGATACCCCGTTCGATTTGTGGACAACGTTCTGGGTCGTCACCGGTTGCCAAATAAGACCATTACTGCCGAGAAGAAACCGGTTTCCATATCGCTACCTTTCAAGGGCGACACAATTGCCGATATGGTGACACGTAAGCTTAGTACAGTTGTAGAAAAAGCATTCCCCGCGGCAAAACTGTTAATTACGTTCATCTCCAGGCCACTTCTCTGCTTTCGACTAAGATAAATTGCCTGTTTCTGCCGTTTCTTTCTGTGTGTACCTATTTACCTGTTCCTGTGATACATTGGCCACACGGGCAGACGTTTATCTGAAAGAGTCCGTGAGCATCAACCGGCCTGGTTGAACAGTGGAGTAATCAAAACCATTAACAGCTCAATCGTTTCACACCTAGTTGAATCAAACCACGTAATTAATGTGGCCGAGGCGGTTCGACCCCTATACTTGGTTCGCACCCGCCGATCTAAGAGGAATAGGAGTGGCATTTTGGCCATAGTGAAGCGATCGGAATCCACCTACATGACCCCCCCCTCTATGCACCCAAAACCAATTCGTAAGAACACTCGATCTTTCATGGCCAACACCACACACGACACAGCCATCCCACTACCCATCCCTAATGACTCAAACCAGTGCGCGTGTGTGAGGACCCAAGTGTGAGTGACATCCGATCATGGAACTGAAGTGTTGATTATCTCCTTCCCAACTTATCTTGTTCTCTCCCTCCCCCCTGCCAGTTTGATATAAATTGTGATGTATCAGCCTGTAGAAGAATCACCGCAAACGAGCTTGTTAGCTACTTTGTTTTCTCACAACTGTTCATTTCACTAAGGGTACGCGAAGAACCACGCTACGTTCAGGAGACCTTCACTCACTGACTACGCGAAGCGAGGGTGTTTTACAACCGTGTGAATGTGAACAGCGGATATCCGAACTGATGAGCCACGGGTACTTAGCCTATCCAAAACAGTAGGACAATTCTGGGCCCGAAAAATTGGGTTATCATTGTAACCGGGTTCAATGAGTGTGAAGTTTGCTTGGTGCATTTTATATGTGGACAACACACTAGGAAACGGGTAAATGGAAACTGGCTTCAATAAACTTTAGTCTTCACACACCACCAACGTGCTTTGCAAGTCAGGCATTCGCTAAAAGATAATCATAATTATGAACCTATGGTGCAATGTAGAAGCATAGCGTCAGCAAATAAAACGCAGTCCAGTCCCAATTCCTCACTTTCCGGGTGATAAACTTATTTGATAAAGAGGTTAAACTCAAGCACGTGCCAAACAGAGCACGATCATACACTGCGTTTTGAATGAATAGGTGCAACGCATTAAAATAAAATATCTCGCGACGAGTAAAACTTCGGAACGATGAGAGGCGCTAACCGATAAAGCGCATTCCTAATGCTAAAAATAGACTTCGCTTTATACGAGGTGGTATTTTTGTGCTCTCACTGCTTATTATTCGTAACTTTCTTTCGATTCAAGCTAATCTGTTCATTTTAGTACCACCTGCGAAAAAGCCGTACAGCTGAGTTTTGCGATCAACGTGTTTTATCAGCACAGGAATGCTTACCGTACAACATAGCATACAAGAGAAGTTTGGAATCAGAAGACCCTTCATAACCGAGAAGCACTTTCAACCAGTGCCATAAGTGGGAAGGTGTATGATTCGTACACCTGTTGTTCAGTTAACAATTTTTAGTCAACTTGAATAGGTGCACGGTCAGTGAATCAGCGACCCTGTTGTGATTCAGATTGTTGACCTTTCATCGTCTCACACCTCCGACAGATGAAGATAATGAAACTGGTCTCCTCATTTAGCGCTGCTTGAGAAGTTTGGTCCCATACAAGCATTTCGCAAGGTTCACGGGAAGGGTGACCAATCTAAATCCAAGACATCCACCCCCGAGCATACTGAAAGTCTTGGAGGTAGGCGGCAAATTGTACATGATGCTTCAATTTCAAGTAAACATCACGATAATGCCACGGGAAAATTCGGGTCAGTATACCCAGCTCGAACCTCATGTGAGTGCGATCACTTCTGCTGTGCTGCGATCAACAGTGACTCAACGCTCTTGAGGAGAGAAGAGATCAGATGTGGTCGATTTCCGATAACCTGGTTTCAAAGCAGATTATTTGATAGCCGGCATTGCATTCAGAAACAAAGCGCATACCGGAAGGAGGAGCAGGACTTGTTAATGTGCTTTGCGCATCCTAAGACGTGAAATTTCGTGGGGTTACTATAAATCCCGTAACTTTTCCCCAGATGTTTATTCAATTCCAAGATTTCGGATTCGACTCAACAAGCTCTATGATACTCTGCTTCTGCTTGCTCTGGCTTACAGCCGTATATGTCTACTTGTACCACTGCAAAAGCTGTGACAGCTTTTGAAACTATCTGCTGGTCCGTGTGAAGGTCTGAAGTCTATAAGCTGCCGATCANCGATCAACTGCGTGATGTATTGACTTTTGTTGGAGAACTAAACCAACTGTTGTCCCCCGTGTACTTTGTGCCACAACCTACAATCGATTGATGGAATCATACAGCTGATACGGAAAGGGTTGCGATTGCTGTTGTTTTCCGTACTGTTCTGCCTAGAAGTACGACCGACACGCCTCTAGCTTAGCCCCGAATAATAACCTTGGACAGGAAATACTACTGGAGAACAAGTCAGGATATATTCTGTGATCATAATCCGATACGCAAATATCGGGCGTAGGGAAACATGGTGATGAAACAATCAGCTTCCGTCCTTGGCATTCCGATTGGT